AGGATTTCCTTAAGCTGAGCTATGAATTGATCCTGACAGAGACTGGTTGATGATCGACACTGAAAGTGGAATTTGAGATTTCTAAGGGGTCCCCAAGGGTGGGGCCCATTGATCTGAGCCCCGCAGATTTGGGCAAAGATTTAGGGGTGGATCCCAAAGAGCTGAGGTGACATCATTTTAGTGGTCACCATGAAGTCGTTTCAGCAGAGAGAGTTTGGAACAGAACCATGGAGGTCTGAGAGTCGTTCTGTGACCTCATGAAGGAACATAAAATATCCTGGATAAAAGTGAATTTCAGGCAGGGTGGACAGCAAGGTGTGGACCAAATTTTGAGACTCTGTCATATTTTAATGAAGTTGGTGGACAACAAAAGGGAATCGAGACCTGGAATATTACACACTCATGAACAAAAGTGGAAATTAGGCCTGGAATATTACGCACTCATGAACAAAAGGGGGAAAAATGAGGCCTGGAATATTACGCAGCCACGAACATAAACAGAAAAGGAGACCTGGAATATTACGCAGTCATGAACAAAAGTGGAAATGAGGCCCGGAATATTACGCACTCGTGAACAAAAGGGAATCGAGACTTGGAATATTACACACTCGTGAACAAAAGTGGAAATGAGGCCTGGAATATTACGCACTCATGAACAAAAGGGGGAAAGGAGACTTTGAATATTACGCAGTCACGAACATAAACGGAAAAGGAGAATTGGAATATTACGCACTCACGAACAAAAGGGGACCGTGAGGCCTGGAATATCACGCACTCATGAACAAAAGGGATTCGAGACCTGGAATATTACGCAGCCACGAACATAAACGGAAAAGGAGACCTGGAATATTATGCACTCGTGAACAAAAGGGGGAAATGAGGCCTGGAATATTACGCACTCGTGAACAAAAGGGGAATGAGGCCTGGAATATTACGCAGTCACGAACATAAACGGAAAAGGAGAACTGTGGTGAGGCGGCGGCTGTGATCCGCTTTGAAAATGAGGCGGAAAATGCCAGTAAACAGCAGGGCGAAGGAAGGACCCAAGGACGCTCGGAGAATCTGAGGAAGCGCTCACAAGTGGCTCCGCGACGATGTCAAGTCTGAGCGAAGTCTGGCCCCCGCCCGCGCTTATCAACCAAGTTTTATTCGCACACAGCCAGCCGTGTGCTTTCTGGAAGAGACTGGGGACCAAGGTCAGGCCCTGGAGGCCAGGGTCAGGTCCTGGAGGCCAAGGTCAGGTCCTGGAGGCCAAGGTCAAGTCCTGGATGCTGGGTTCCAAGGTTATGTCCTGGAGGCCAAGGTCAAATCCTGGAGCCCAAGGTCAAGTCCTGGAGGTTGAAGGTCAAGTCCTGGAGGCCAAGGTCAAATCCTGGAGCCCAAGGTCAAGTCCTGGAGGTTGAAGGTCAAGTCCTGGAGCCCAAGGTCAAATCCTGGAGGTTGAAGGTCAAGTCCTGGAGCCCAAGGTCAAGTCCTGGAGGTTGAAGGTCAAGTCCTGGCGCCCAAGGTCAAGTCCTGGAGGCTGGAGCCCAAGGTCAAGGTGTGGTGGACGCCATGTTGGCGACAGCCGGCTTCTGGTGCACACGTGGCTCCTTCCCGCCGTGTCCTCCATGGTGGGGGACAGGGAGCTCCCTGGGGTCTTTATGGACAGGGACACTGACCCCATCAGGGCTGCACCCCGTGACCCGTCACCTCCCGACGGCACAGGAAATGAGGGCAAATTCGGTGACCTCCTGGACGCCCAGGACCGTCTCCCCAAAGCTGTGGCCTCTCTTTGCGGGACTTCCGCGAGGGAGGTGTGCGGGCTGAGGGAATCTGCCCTGTGACCCCGTCCCGATGGTCCGTCCACTCCGAGCTTCCTGTCCCCACTCCGTCCCTGTGGTCTTCAGAGCCACAGCGGGAATTAGGGGACCCGTGTAGAAATTCCCGTCCTTGCAGAGGGAGCCGCCAGGCCCTGGGGAATGGCAGGTGCCCGCACCACGGCGCCCATGGCTGAGACATTCCTGGACTCAGACAGGGGAGACATTTGCACAAAACCAAATGATCTGAGGACATTTCAGAGGACTTTCAGCAGTCATTCATCTATCATCTATCTAGTAGTCAATCATCTATCATCTATCTATGCATCTGTCTGTATATCTATCATCTATCTATCAGTCAATCATCTGTCATCTATCTATCAGTCAGTCATCTATCATCTATCTGTCAATCATATATCCTCGTTATTGGTGTGTAACGATGTCATTTATCTGAGTAGCTTTTCTCTGAGGACTCAAAACTTGACATTCCCCAAAAAGGAGTTCAGACACATAGTCGGTCGACACACACTCGACAAGGTGGCATTTTGAACAATTCCAGCAGGTTTAAAAATCCTGTATTCACTCTTGTATAGGACATGCATCACACATACTCACTTTATTAACTCCCTCTCTCCTGTGCCACCTCCCCTGGGTATCACCTGTTTGTCAGAACATTGCTGCATTTGTTTTGGGCCCATGTTCCACAAATGAGAGAAAACATGGTGGCCTTTGGCTTTCTGAGCCAGCTGCCTTCACCCAGTGTCCCATTTTCCGAGCCATTTTTCTTTCTAGGAGTCACTTTGCAAACACCTTGGGATCCAGGAAGGAGGAGACCGACTGGGTAATTGAGAGCTTTGCAGTGGGATCCCCGCCAAGGACGGGAACAATGCGGCCGCCATGGACAGACAGACTGACCACCTGGTCACCGGGCAGTGACCTACGAAGCTTGCGTTTGTTGATTGCAAAACGTTCCCTAATCCGGTGTGCATGGCTGGGAAGACGTGGCCTGAGTGGGGAGGTGGCTCTTTATTTTATTTTATTTTTCCCGTGAGCAAAGGAAAAGGGAAAATGTGCTTTTGCTTATCGTCTGTGGCTCTGAAAGGAACTCAGCCACATCCGAGCCCATGACAAAATGGAGCAGCACAGCTGTGCTCAGAAGGGATTCGGGGAAAGGTAACATTTTTTTTGTCAATCTATTATCTACTTGGACATTTTTAAGTTGAGTTGTTTTTTTTTTTTTTTTTTTAATTAAGACCCGTTGCAGGGATTTGGGAAGTCTTGGGACGGTGGTGACGGTGGAGATGGTGCTGGTGATATTTCCTGCTTCCTGCCCTGTCATGGAGGCCACGCGTGTGGCTTTGGGGACCTGGAGGAGCCTGCGTTCACGTGAATGGCACCACCGCCACCTAGTGGCCGTGCCGGGAACAACACCGTTGGGTTCTTCAATTAACCAAAAAAAAAAAAAAAAAAAAAAAAACCAAACGGCAGAAAACCTTGCCATCTCTGTCGCCATTTTGCACCTGTTGTCCTTGGCTCCCAGCCATTGACCCCTGCAGCCACCTTGGAATCAAGGACTGGTGGGTAATATTGAGGCAGGTTCATTGAGTGACTCATAGAGATGAAAAACAACTGCATCTCGGGTTGACCATGCTTTGGCTCAGGAACCAGGCTCACCCGGCTGGGGACCGCCCCGTGCCCCTCCCCGATTACTGATTATGGGGTGGGAATCTCCTTCTTGTCCCCTGAAACTCACCAGCTCCACCATTTGCACGGTGTGGTCTGTGGTCGGGGATGCCTTCGCCGAGCCGGAGGGCCGTCCTTTTTCAGGGCTGAGTTAGTCTTCCACTGTGCCAGTCAATAATCATCAGCGAGTGGGAGAAACAGCAGGGGGTCCCCGGGTCAGGCGAGGGAGGTTTGAATGGACGGCTGAGAGACGGAGAAGAAATGCAAAGGTAAATGCAGTATTTTCGAAGAATCCCAGACTTCCCCTAAACCCAGCCTGGAGCCCTGGGCTGAGAACATAATTTACTGCGGCAGAAAAGTAGAGAGAGCAAAGATTTAGTAGGGTGCCATTGAAAAGGGGGTAAAAAGCAAGAGGCAGGTGGAGAAAGGCACATGGCACCTGTCTGTCACCTGCCCTGTGCCGCGACAAGGCACTGGGGTCAGCCGCGCACAGGATTTGCTTGGGGCTTTGCTGATCGGCCGCGGCTTTGCTGTGCGGCTCTGCTGATTGGCCGTTGCTTTGCTGCGCGCCGTGCTGATTGGCCGCTCTGCCTGTCGATCACGGTTTGACTGGCAGGGCGGGAATACCGCCCACGTGGTCCCGCCTCCCTCTCTGCCCGGACTTTGGCCTTTTGCACTGCACCTGCAACGGGTCATTTCCTCCACTGGGGCCACAGGCCTCTGACACCTGTGGGTGTTGTGCAGGACAAGCTCCAGCGTGGAGTCCTTGTCACTGCAGTGTCGATGGCGCGAAGTGATTGTCAGGCCATTGCCTGGCTTTGCCAAGCAATTGCAGCGGGAGATGGAGACGCCGGGGATCCCAATATGGCAGGTCCGGCCACCGCCCCTAAAAGCCATATAAAGGGACATTAATGGTGAAGACGGAGAAAGGGGGTTTCTGGCACGGCTGGGGACAGGGGAAGAGGCAGAGCGGGCACCCAGCCATCTTTGGGGTGCAGGCGTGAGCTATGGGCTCACGTGGACAAAGAATGAGGGACAGGGGACCAAGTGGGTCTAAAAAGTCCCAGCCCCAGGTGGGTTCTGCTTGGCTATTATCTGAGTCCAAGGGCCACCAGGGGTTCCCCAGAAGATGTCACCTCTTGAGGGGACAGATCTGGTTCCCATGAGGTCACTGCAGCCACAGGTCCTGGTCCTCATTTGTGGGGTGTCTGTCCTACGAGTGTCCACTGTTCCTATGGGAAATTCCAGTCCCTTGTCATGAAGCTATCATCAGTTCTGTCCTTTCTGGGACCCAAGGTGTTTGCAGAGCGACTGCAGAAACGGCTCAGAGCAAAGACAGATCCAAGATGGCGGCAGGGAGGCCAAGCTCGCCTGGTTTAGGTCATTTGTGGGGTGAAGATGGGGTCAGTGCTTGAGCTCGTCTCACATTTCTACCGAATATCAGAGGTGAAATGAATCCCTGACACCGCAACGGGGGACCATGGCCCTCTGTGCTCTTCTGTCCCTGTCTCTCTGTCTGTCTGTCTGTCTGCAGTCAGATTCCACCTGGGAGGTCAGGTTGGTGAGGACCAAGGGGCAAACCCATTTTTCCAGTTTGGGACTGGGTTTTCCCTGTGGGGACAAGTCCTAGTCCTAGATCCAAGATGAGAGAGAGAGAGAGAGAGAGAGAGAGAGAGAGAGAGAGAGAGAGAGTTACTTGAATCCTTTTATGATGACATCAGCGGTTTTAGGCGTTTTTTTAGGCCCATTCACCGCGTTTCTGTTGAAACTGCACATTTATCCTTTTCTTTTGGACCGAGAAATCCCTGAATTTGTTCTTCTCTCTGTGTTACCGGGAAATTACCTCAGAGCGACGAATTCAAGCTGGGTGCCGGCGCTCACGCCTGTAATCCCAGCTGCTCAGGAGGCAGAGAGCGGGAGGATCGCGGTTCGAGGCCAGGCCTGGGGACGTACTTCACGAGACAAAACAAACAAAAACAAGTCTTGAGTTCAAGCAAGATGTCAAAAAAAGTCAGTTTATTACCGTGAGAAATTCCACTTCCTCAGCCGACTCAGAGCCAGCGTAGTAGAGTGAATGCTAGACGGTCACGACAGCCTTGCAAGATGGGCTGGTTCACCCCAAAATGGCGACAGCAAGCATTTTATCCCTCAGTGTGCAGGGCTGAGTGCTCCGGGGTGTGTAATATTCCCTTATGCCGCCTGCATCGCACCATTTCCTTATAGGATTTTTTTTTGACCCCCCCCTCACGCCACGTCCTGTCGGTGGCTTTTCTGGTCTGTCACCTTTGTCCCTTCTGCCGATGACACAGGGGAAAAGTGTGGGGGGGGGAAGGGACAGACATTTCCTGCTCCCCATGCAAAGAGCGGGAGTAGAGATTCGAAATGGCCGCCCTGGTGTCTTAGTCTGGCTCCTTGGGAATATTACTAGTCAGAGATAAAGGACCCGCAGTCCCATTCCACCTGGGGCTTTGGTGTGAGGGGAACTAAAATGGCAGAAATACTTGGTTGTAGATCACGGAGACGGAAAGTTTCCGCAAAAGCAAAATATTTAGGGAGACTTAAAAAAAAAACAGTGATGGGGGGGCAGCCAGATGGTCGGATTTAGCAGAAGGTAATCAGATAGTCAGTCAATTATAGGTGTAGGTTCAGAGTACAGTAGGGAGGATTGCCTAAAGCCAGGTTCCTATTCAATCCCATAAACTGCAGCCATTATTTGCTTAGCTCTTTCCCTAAGTCCCACCGGGTCGGGGTGCTTTGTTATCCTGTCAACAAACCTTGTGCTTGCTCAAACTCTTAACTCCAGGTGCGTGGAGTAGATCTGCTTTGAGTCTTAACTGCTTGTCCGGGTTCAGTCATCGACACAGGACCCGGGATCTGTAGGTTTCCTGGTGTCCACCAGGGTAGTGCAGGGAGCCAGGCTCAGTAACACGAAGGCCGCCATGTTGTTGTTTCCTCTCAGTTCACAGGAACGTCAGTAAAAAGCACAACATTCTGCCTGAAAGATGACTAAGTGAAAGGGGCTGTGGGTCACGTGGTGCACGCCTGCCCAGGCGGAGCAAAGCGCTAAGTTTTAAACCCCGGGACGGCCACTAAAGGAAGTATTAGGGTCACGTAGGGGACCGCGCCACACTAATGGCGGCTGAACTCCTGGCACAGGGCAAGTCTGCCCCACCCTCTTTGACCTCATCCCGTGATGCGCAAAAGGCGCGCCGCCTCACACGTCACAAAGCGCCCAGGGGAGGGACAAAGGCCGGAACCGGAAGTCAGCCGGAGGCTTCTGGGAACTGTAGTTTTTAAGACTTTGCCAGGGACCGGCTGCGTTTTAGGATAGTGGAGTGCAGCGCCGTGGTGGCCGCTGTTTCAATGCGGAGATTCCGCGGCTCAGAAGCGAATCGCCCACTGGACTGGGGCAGCGGCAGACTGCAGGCCCGCAAGGCGCCATGAGGGATCTGCGTGTTGTCGTACGTTTTACGTCCGCAGCGTCTCCGCAGAGGCTTCTGGGGGCCTCGAGTCCCTGGGTTCTGGGTAACGTAGTCCTTTGTTCAACCCTCACCGCAGAGGCTCCTGGGAGCTGCAGAATTCTGGGGAATGTAGTCCAGCACTAGTCAAACTCTTCCGTCTAGGAACGGAAATTTCCTAAAGAGAAAATTTGTTTTTTTAACAGAAAGAAAATTTTTTTGCCATAAGGCGTTATTTTTCTGATGGAGGCATGACGGTGCAGTTCAGTGGTACAGGCGACCAAGAGGTCGCGAGTTCGAGACCGGCCTGGGCTGCGTAGTGAGAGCCTGTCTCAAGATACAGAAAGATGGAGGGGGGGTAGAGATACGGCAGCCCTTGCTTTTCATGCCTGGCATGGCGCATGGCAGAGGGAGGAGGTGGGGGAAACCGAGGCAAGGCCACGGGTCCAGCAGATGATCAGAACTGACACCTTTCGCGCCCTGCCGACGGCTTCTATCACAGCTGCTTCTCTGCTTGGGGCGGGGGGGAGGGGTGGGGAACAACACGCCCCGCCCACATGCCCCTCGGGCCCCGCCCCCTCTGACGTCACCACACGTGGCCCCTCCCCTTCCATCACCGCCCGCAGGCTCCTCTCTCCGTATGTCACAACCACGTGGGTTCCATCCCGGTGTCCCACAGGCTCCTCCCTCCTCTGACGTCACCACCATGTGGGCTCCGCCCCCACGTCCCATAGTGGAAACGGTAAGAGTAGGAAGTTAATAAAGTGAATATGTGTGATGTTCTTTTTAAGATTGAATATAGAGGAGGGAAGTTAATAAAGTGAATATGTGATGTTCTTCTCTTTTAAGATTGAATGTAGAGGAGGGAGTTAAAGTGAGTATGTGTGATGTTCTTCCATTTTAAGATTGAATATAGAGGAGGGAAGTTAATAAAGTGAATATGTGTGATGTTCTTCTATTTTAAGATTGAATGTAGAGGAGGGAGTTAATAAAGTGAGTATGTGTGATGTTCTTTTATTTTAAGATTGAATGTAGAGGAGGGAGTTAATAAAGTGAGTATGTGTGATGTTCTTCCCTTTTAAGATTGAATATAGAGGGGGAAGTTAATAAAGTGAATATGTGTGACGTTCTTCCCTTTTAAGATTGAATGTAGAGGGGGAAGTTAATAAAGTGAATATGTGTGACGTTCTTCCCTTTTAAGATTGAATGTAGAGGGGGAAGTTAATAAAGTGAATATGTGTGATGTTCTTCTATTTTAAGATTGAATATAGAGGAGGGAGTTAATAAAGTGAGTATGTGTGATGTTCTTCCATTTTAAGATTGAATGTAGAGGAGGGAAGTTAATAAAGTGAATATGTGTGATGTTCTTCTATTTTAAGATTGAATGTAGAGGAGGGAGTTAATAAAGTGAATATGTGTGACGTTCTTCCCTTTTAAGATTGAATGTAGAGGGGGAAGTTAATAAAGTGAATATGTGTGACGTTCTTCCCTTTTAAGATTGAATGTAGAGGGGGAAGTTAATAAAGTGAATATGTGTGACGTTCTATTTTAAGATTGAATATAGAGGAGGGAAGTTAATAAAGTGAATATGTGTGATGTTCTTCTATTTTAAGATTGAATATAGAGGAGGGAAGTTAATAAAGTGAATATGTGTGATGTTCTTCTATTTTAAGATTGAATGTAGAGGAGGGAGTTAATAAAGTGAGTATGTGTGACGTTCTTCTATTTTAAGATTGAATGTAGAGGAGGGAGTTAATAAAGTGAATATGTGTGACGTTCTTCCCTTTTAAGATTGAATATAGAGGAGGGAAGTTAATAAAGTGAATATGTGTGATGTTCTTCTGTTTTAAGATTGAATATAGAGGAGGGAAGTTAATAAAGTGAATATGTGTGATGTTCTTCTGTTTTAAGATTGAATGTAGAGGAGGGAAGTTAATAAAGTGAATATGTGTGACGTTCTTCTATTTTAAGATTGAATATAGAGGAGGGAGTTAATAAAGTGAATATGTGTGACGTTCTTCCCTTTTAAGATTGAATATAGAGGAGGGAAGTTAATAAAGTGAATATGTGTGACGTTCTATTTTAAGATTGAATATAGAGGAGGGAAGTTAATAAAGTGAATATGTGTGATGTTCTTCTGTTTTAAGATTGAATATAGAGGAGGGAAGTTAATAAAGTGAATATGTGTGATGTTCTTCTGTTTTAAGATTGAATGTAGAGGAGGGAAGTTAATAAAGTGAATATGTGTGACGTTCTTCTATTTTAAGATTGAATATAGAGGGGGAAGTTAATAAAGTGAATATGTGTGACGTTCTTCCCTTTTAAGACTGAATGTAGGATTTTTAAGCCATCGGGGTTTTGGTGGCCCAGTGCAAATTGTTGAACAACCGTCTTAAAGAAACAAACACGCGCTTTGAGTGCGCTCCTTCCTGTGCCCCTTCCCTAATCCCACCTGCAAAGGAGGAGGAAATGAATTTCCAGTCCGGGTTACTTGCCCAGGCTCCAGGCTCCCGAGGAGGCCGATCGTGGCACCTTTCGCTCCTGCGTGGAGCTCCGGCGTGTCGGTCACACAGCCGGTCAACAACCCCCGGGCTCAGCGTCGCCGTGAGGGCTCCGGGGTGCGTTTTATGGCGCCGTGCTCCTCCCCCTGTGGCGTGGGAGGGATTCCAGGACAGGCAGCTGCCCCAGGTGCCGTGACCCCAAGGGGACACGGGAGGGCCAGGCTTCCGACGGCCCCTCCCAGCCAGGTGGCGGACTCAGCACGCAAGGGTTCAAGTTGGCGGCCTCTGCCCGGCGCGGCCTCTGCGGGCAGCTGCCGGGCACATGGGCGCCGCACTCCTGTGCGTCCCTCAGAACCCCAGCGTTCACAACCCTCAGGCCCTGGAGGTGGAGGACGGACGGCGTCCTGTCCGCCCCATCTCTCTGCCTTCGGTCCGTCCGTCTGTCCTCTGTCTTCCCGCGAGCTCGGCCTGCACAGCTCAGCCTGTGCCCAGGGTTTGTTGATCGAGCAACAGACCTCGGGAAAGGGAGGAGGCCCGACGCCCCACCCCTGGCCAGCGGGTTAAGGGAAGGCGCTGTCCGCACGCGCGGACAGGAACGGGCTTCTGCCCTGGCGGGTACGCGGGTCCCAGTCCACAGCAGCAGCGCCCCGAAGAGTGGGTGACGCGAGGGGCGGTGACACGGGACACCGCGAGGGTTTTCCGCTTCTGTTCACGGGTGCGAAATATCCCCCCGAGGTCACCTCCCTCACCCTTTCCTCGTGTCATCCGCCCCTCCCACCGCTGCATAAATAAAGACAAAACGCTTCGCCGTTCGCCCTCATCCCCCTTCCTGGTGTCCCTCCAGCTGCCCCTGCTGCCCATCCCCAAGAAAAGACCTGTTTTCCCCTCCTGGCCTTCATTTTATTAATTGAGTGAATATTGATGAACGTTAATTGAGTGAATATTGACGAACGTTAATTGAGTGAACATTGATGAACGTGAATTGAGTGAATATTAATGAACATTAATTGAGTGAATATTGATGAACGTTAATTGAGTGAATATTGATGAACGTGAATTGAGTGAATATTGATGAACGTGAATTGAGTGAATATTGATGAACGTGAATTGAGTGAATATTGATGAACGTGAATTGAGTGAATATTGACGAATGTGAATTGAGTGAATATTGACGAACGTTAATTGAGTGAATATTGATGAACGTTAATTGAGTGAATAATGAACATCAATTGAGTGAATATTGATGAACGTTGAGTGAATATTAATGAACATTAATTGAGTGAATATTGATGAACGTTAATTGAGTGAATATTAATGAACATTAATTGAATGAATAATGAACATTAATTGAGTGAATACTGATGAATATTGAATGAATATTGATGAACATGAATTGAGTGAATATTGAACATTCATTGAGTGAATAATGAACATCAATTGAGTGAATATTGATGAACGTTAATTGAGTGAATATTGATGAACGTGAATTGAGTGAATATTGATGAACGTGAATTGAGTGAATAATGAACATCAATTGAGTGAATATTGATGAACGTTAATTGAGTGAATATTAATGAACATTAATTGAGTGAATATTGATGAACGTTAATTGAGTGAATATTAATGAACATTAATTGAATGAATAATGAACATTAATTGAGTGAATACTGATGAATATTGAGTGAATATTGATGAACATGAATTGAGTGGATATTGAACATTCATTGAGTGAATAATGAACATCAATTGAGTGAATATTGATGAGCGTGAATTGAGTGAATATTGATGAACATTAATTGAGTGAATAATGAACATCAATTGAGTGAATATTGATGAACGTTAATTGAGTGAATATTGATGAACGTGAATTGAGTGAATATTGATGAACGTGAATTGAGTGAATATTGACGAACGTGAATTGAGTGAATATTGACGAACGTTAATTGAGTGAACATTGATGAACGTGAATTGAGTGAATACTGAACATTAATTGAGTGAATACTGATGAATATTAATTGAGTGAATATTGATGAACGTTAATTGAGTGAATACTGAACATTAATTGAGTGAATACTGATGAATATGAATTGAGTGAATATTCATGAACGTGAATCG